TTTATACGAACCCCTCAAATGTTTTGCATAGACCCGGTGGCTTCAGTTTCGATTAGACCTGTACAATCATCATACATTGTAAGAAAAACACAGTAGTGAATAAGCTCGTTTGCAGCGATTCTTCTACAGGCTCAAATATATATATCACAATTTATATTGAACTGTTTAGTAGAGGGTAGAAATCATGACGATTGGCTAATGCGGCCGAGGTGTTTCCACTCCTCTACTTAGGTCACAGCTATAGATTCAAGAGGACTGGGAATTGCATTCTGGTCACATCGGAAGCGATCGGAATCCGCCTACATAACCCCGCAATTCGTATGCTCTCAAAAACAATTCGTAAGAACACTCGATCTTCCATGATCAACACCACACAGGACAGATACAGCCATCCCTCCATCCACTATTAATGACCAGTGTAGATGTGTGACAATCAAAGTGTGAGCAATATGGAGTTATGGAACTGGAATGTGGACAATTTCTTTCACAACTTGTTTTGATAAAAACTTTGATGTGATGTAGTAACCTGCGGGAGAATAATCGCAAACGAGCTACTGTTTTCTACTGTGTTTGTTTCTTAAACTATCAAAACAAAAACAAAAGGGAACAATACCTTGTTTTCAACATTGGCAATAGGAGCAAGCTGATATTTTCCGGATTGTATCCGAACAACGGTAGTCGCGGGTCTTTCAACACACTGATCAACTCGTGAACAACGGCATTCTCTGTGGCCATCGGATGATCTTTCAGGTCCCCGGCAAGTTCGTGCAGCTCCTCCAGTGTGACTGACTGAAAAAGAAAGTTCAGGGAAAACCGATTCCTTAGAGGGGATTTCTTGTTTTAGCTTTTTGCTCCGCTGAAGTGTGAAAGTGAACATTCATTTACAGACTTGAGATTTTATCATTACCCTGTCCAACGGGATTGTCCGAGACAATCGTTTGAAACGTATTCCAAAAATTCACTCGGAAACTATAGAAAATGTATTTGTAACTTTGGATGAACCTTTACATACATAGATGGTACAATGAAGTGGTATTCATCCGGTGTGACTAAGAGTAGCCGGGATCGAATTACGCCTTCAGATCACCCGAACATCAATCGTACCGTGGCGTTTACAATAGCAAAATCTTAACATAGTGGCCAATGAACATCGTGACCAATCGCACATTGTTCGAGCGTTGTCCGGAAGATACGACGACGACGACAAAACACCAACAACAACAACAAAAACAACAACATAAAATCGATCGATTCCGCTTTTCCGGAAAACGAAGAGATCCAGATGGGTTCCATTCCCTGACTTCTTTTGACCAAGTGTTTCAAGTGATTTAGAGTATGCCTCGAGAATAAAAATGAAATGAGCCGTAAGATGACTAAAAAAAACAAATAGCGACCAATCCATTTTGATTCCCTGAAAATATAATAAAAATCAGTATATTGTTTATGAACGAATATGATCTAATCCAGATACATATTTCCCTTTTTCAATTAGTTCAAATCGGAAGATTTTCATTCATTCGTTTGTTCATACCCAGACGTACTGCGTACCCCGCTCCGCACGGAAAATCTCCCATCCACCCGCATCTATACCAACGGAACTAATGTTTCAGTCCCTAATTGGCCAGTTTTATTGTCCGCCGGGATTGAAGTAACCACCTGTTGCGAAAACAATGCAGCTTAGAGACTGATCGTCCCATTGATGTGCGCTGGTTACTTCGCTCAACGATAGATCAAGAATCAATAAATATCATCATCATCTTTGGGCTAAATAATTTGGTATCATGCGAATGATTACTTTGAGACCGTCATGTCGTAAATCACGTGTGATTTGATTCAGCGTAAAAAATGCGAACAGGATATCACCACCACCAACACGACTACCATCACCACGTAGGTTCTTCTCAAACATCGTAATATTTCATTGAACAAAATTTGAACGCATTGAGCCTGCATGCTCAAAGTTTTATGTCTTAACAAACAATATTTATTTAATTTCAAATTTTGACTTGCGATTTTACAATCGCAAGAATGTTCTGGGTCCAAGTGCGGAGACTCAAATCGATAACAGGCAAACATGGGGGAGAAGCCAAAGATCTCACGAATGCCCAAACTGCGAAGGCGTGTCAAAGTTATTAGATAACCGATTAAACGGGTTCAACTTTGATTCCCACAATCCAGACACGAATGTATTTTTTCGTCGGTGGTTAGTTCCTTGTGTAAACACCAATTTCTAGCAGACTGTGATGACAAGGAGGAGGTCGGAAGGGGGTGGGTGGCCGAATCAGGTGTGTACGAGATCCTATTCAAAAAAGTATGGTGTAAAAAATAAGCAGACTTTCACCAATCTTAAAACGAACATGTTTCCTCATTCGACATCAACATCCATTGTATCAGTAGCGCTTCCGGTTTCAAGCGCGCTCGCGCGCGATAAAACGCTCAGTCTTGCGTGACTCTAGACACGGCTAACGCATTACCGATCGAGCGCGTGAAATAGATTTAGTCGTTTCTACTGGTTTCGAATCGTTACTGCTTCAATGAAATTAATCTAACCTTATTCTGAGGGACAAACTGAATTCGACATTTCAGGTTATTCCNATTGACTAGGTGTGAATCGTGTTGTTTTGCTGGGTGGCAAAACACCAAAATCAAGTCTCCTCGAATCCGATGATTCTGAGCAGAGTATAGATCCAACGACTGCATTCTCCCCATGTGTGAATCATGATAGAGTCCTCTGACCATCTTCGTGGCGAGCCTTTGTGGACGTTCCAAAATCTTATGATCACGTCGTGAACATGGGTTCCAAGTTTGGATGGCATACTCAATATGCGCCCGGATGTATGCTGACAACAGACGTGAGATCAACGATGGTTCAAAACGACCGAACACAGGTTCAAGTAGACCGACATGTTTGAGTGTGGTTGATCACGCCCTGGAGTAATTAACAGAACTGCTCAGATCTTCGTGGACTATAACACCCAAGTCCTTCTCTGTTGATGCATGAGGCAGTAATTTGTTTCCGAGGAAATACGGAAACCGCCCATGGTGGCGTAACGAAACCACCTTGCATTTGGAGACGTTAAATTGGACGTCGTTCTCAAATGACCATTTGTGAGCTGCATTTAGTGTTTCTTGGAGTTCCAAGTGAACTCCCAATTTCTGTCACTGTCTTCCAGATTTTGACGTCGTCTGCAAACAATGTTTTTGGTCCTAAAGCATTCGGCAGGTCGTTTATGAACAAAAGAAAAAGTCGCGGACCAAGCACAGAACTCTGGGGAACTCCGCCGGAAACGGCGATAGGAGTGGACAGTGAATTGGAGACTCGAACCGACATAGTCCGTTGTTGGAGAAACGCAGCAATCCAATCAAGCGCGAGGCTTCTGACACCAAAATTGTACAGCTTATGGAGCA